AACTTCATGTTCTTTGTGTGGCATATGTCCAAGTTAACTTGCGGCTGACATTATTTCATTGCACTGCGTATTGCTAAAAATCATATAAATGCACATTGAAAAATTGTAGAAATAGAGTTTGTTGACCACTTGACTACAATGCCCGAATCTTCTAAGTGAATCTTTGACAACAAAGCTAGAATCATACGAAAAGATTTTTCATGTACTTCTAAATACAAATCCTTCATCATATTCTTAGCCCGCCACATCAATTGATACCTTGTGTTCAACTTATAATCGATTTTCAATTCACTCACAAATTTTCTAACAGATATATGGATGTTGCGTGTAATTCTATTTTCTATCGTACCACCAAGCCACTGTGAAGTATGTGTAGGATCTCTCCTTCTACTCTTATGTCGCAAACATGTGTGTTGAAAATTCAACAATGTGATCACAAATGATCCTTTCGTAGTGCGTTGGCAGCGCACTCTAGAAGGACATGGACATGTGAAAATATATCCATATTCTACAATTTGGTCTAATTCACCACAAGCTCCAGTTACAGAAGATATTTTTTTTTTAATACAACATCACCGCATTGTCCAAAGCTACCTAGAATTCACTCTGAACTATGTTTTACAACTAAATGTGAACAGTCAAAAATATTTTTGCTACATTGTTGAACAATACTTTTGTTATCTCCTAGAGAAATTTGTTGTTTGTCGCAGGTTGATTTAGTTTGATTCTTCTAGCATCTGTCTTTGTAGCTTGTACATTAACACCCGTAACTGTAATAGTTGTGGAAGAGTTCGTGATTATGGTTGAACTTTGAACTTCTGGAGCTGAACTGTCTCCTCCTCAGACTTTTCAGTTAGTACAATTTTCTTATTTCAAATAAAAGTTTTTTCCTTACTTAATCATATTAGCAAAAACGCACACGAAAATTAAATTTGGTTATTGAACTTATGATATGCTCTGCCTTCTATCACACTTCAAGAATGAAAACATCTATCAAACTCCTCAAAATTCTCTCCCAATCTTATATGATGTGACTATGTTTGAACTTATTCCAAAACTCTTCCAGCCAAATCAACAATCTTACTTGTTTGCTCTTCAACCATCTTCCAATGAAAATATCTATGTTGAAAAAGTTGTTAAAGATGGAAGAGATATGCAATTTGCGTTGAAAATCTCAATAATTACAAGTTTATTGTGATAATATGATTGCAAAGAGTACACATACTCGTTCATACTCTTCAATTTGAAAACTTTGCACAACAAATGTTTCAAATTCCCTTTTTTGTCTACCAGTCCTGGGGCCTTGTCGGACAGTATTTTGGTTTTATGGTGTCCAACAAGACAAAGCCCGGGGCTCTGTCTGACAACAAGGCTGATGAAAAAATACCAGCTGGAGATTTTTAATAATATCAAAAAACTTATTTCTAATAATTGTTAGTGGAGTCTCATTACTACTTCTACTCAATTACTTTTCCATGCCCTTGAAACCATCATTCTCATGATTGACATAAGAACTAAAAGCTAACCTCAGCTACTGATTGAAATATTAGTGAAAAGAAATGAGCTGTGGAACAATACTTGTCTTTTTATTTGACTGATTTGAGCATTCAGTAGATCAACATAGATTGAAAATCACAATTTATCTTTGATACTCTTTATGTCTCAGACAAAATTCAATAGAAATGTCTCTGGATATGATGATATTGTGTTTAGTTTATCACTCTATAGACACAAAACTTAATTTACAACATATGATGCAACCTAAGATAACTTATCAACTTGCAATCAATCATTACAGAGCTTAAAGTAAGTGTAAAATTTTCTTTATTTTTCTACAACTATGGCGACAGTATTGTTTAGATCAACAAGGTTCAAACAGCAAGACAATAGAAAGGCAACAATACATGGCTCTTGACAAGCTCAACAAATTAGGCAAACTTTCCGAGCCTGCATTATATATCTTCGCTTTTGTGTAACACTATTCATGAAGCTCTTTCATCGGAAAAGTGATAATTATGAAATAACACAGTGTATACAAGCGATGCAGTTTCAATAATTAAAAAAAAACCAGGGCACACTTATAAAGTCATTGAAGAGAATTTAAAATCCTCATATCCTAACTACCTTCAGAGTTTGAGTTCGTTCTCTTGGCCTCTTGGCCAAATAACAAATGCTCCATTGGATATGATGCAAGAGCCATGCTCCATCGCGTTGCGACAGAGTAACTACACTGTACTTTCATACTAGAACAAGTGTGACGTGTATTGTGTAAGGTCCGATCAGATGAAACAAAACTTGATGAGTCTCATTAAGTTTACATTACGATGAGGTACCATCAAGTAAATATGTCAATGTTTAGTCTATTTATCGATCGTTTTGCTCATACTTAACAACCAAAAAATTGACCTAAGTAGAGCACATATTCAAAAACCGGCTAAAAATAACAATGTTCAAATCCATTTAACTATCATCTTGCTTATACTTTACAATCAAAAAATTGCCTTGTGTAGATCATGTATTCAAAAATGTGATAGCAAGATTTGTGAGTAATCAGTCGATTCATGAGTATTATTCATTTGTTGTGGACGTTAAGTCAAAACAATAGCATCAAAGCTCCAAAATTGGAAGTAGGTTCCAATCGAAGAAAAAATGCTGAAACTAGTATCACTCAAGACGAAGAAGTTTAAAGTGGTTTTAAATTGCTACAGTAGCTACAACCGATGTTGACGAGAGTGAGGTACAATATCCTCATATTCTCTATTAATACTCTTAGTAAGTTAGCAAGAAACTCTAAAGTTAGAAAGTTATTACCATCTCTAACACTAAAAGAGTCAGTATTAACTTCAAGTTGGAACAAGTCTGGTCAGATACTCCTAGTGTCACGTCCCTGACATCATAAATCTTATATGTTTTTTTTAATATTTGCATCTAGGGTAATTTATTAATTGCATAATTGGCATCAATTTTCAGAATGCCCATTTAAAGTAGTAGTGGACTTTGATCTCATGAAGATGTTAATTGAGACTCAATTTGGTAAATTTCTGCTATCCAAAGAAAAATTTGACGCTGATAATCCGACTCTAATTTGTTCTCTGTCACCAAATAGTATACAGCAAAATGATGCAAGATACATCAGTTGTAAGCATACAACCAAGAAATAAGCACTTCAGTTAATGTTTTATTCACAAAGGTTTACAAAGGTTGCCGAGTGGCAATCTTCTGATTATAATGCTTTACATAACCATTACATTACTACAGAATTCTATCACTGCAAATCCATATTATCTGGCTTTCTTTGATGGAGATTCAATCCTTGGGGGCGAAAAGAAGGTGAATTGAAGGTTTTCTCAATTTAATTTACCAATGGCCAAATCACGATCCGGATGTTCGCATCAGTCAAAACACATAAATGATGCTACTTGAAACTGAAGGGACTCCGGTAGGTGGTCTGAGGAACCCCAGGTGGTGATGGGGAACCGGTACAGGTGGTGAGTAAAACGTATGACCGACAAAAGAACATAGAACACCTGCTCTCTATAATTGCATCTGAGATCTTAAAATATGTCCAAGAATCTACATGAAACCAACCCCCATCCTTCCCCACTCCGCCTCTCAGCATGCACTCACGCACGACGCCACGTAGCATTCAAAGATATTTAGCTGTTACGATCTACATTTACAGTACGGGTAAAAATGGCATTGGAATGAACGACAACATGAAGGAGGAGAGTTTTCAAGGTAGATAAAATTTCCTCTTCAAAGTCTGAATTAGTAGCGAGCTGTAGATAAACAAATAATAAACGCAAAGCTTGTGGTATGTTTTACTTAGGTAATGACAATCTCTCCCTCAGTTATGAGAATTCTCTACGCCCTTCCTTTGCACGAAGTAGATTATTTCCTAAACATAAGGTCAATTTTATGTGGTTATAATATAGTCTTACATCATGTTCACATTATGTAGTTAGAAGCACTTCTGATGAGAAATCCTTCCATCTTAATATTAGGTTAAGTATTAAAAGGTCAAGTTGTGGACAACGGAATTGAACAGCACGTAATGTAAACCACCGAAGTTTCATTGTCTCCGGTATCATTTGTCTTTTGTATGCATGTCAATACAGCTGAATAGTTTGGCTCTCAATCCAAACACTATAAAGATTCTTTTAAGCGGCTCTAATTTGAGATCGTGTGGAGATTAAGAATAAAATACATTTTTCCAATACTGTGTTTGTCCTTGTGTGTGACATCACGTGAGAAACCTTGTAAATCTTAACATACCAGCAAGACGATGAAAACTGTAAATGTACCAACAACTTTTTTTCTAGACGACGGTTTATCCTCATACGGATAATGCGATGTTTTTCATCTTTGTGGTTTTACATCAGCAAGCCTTGATTTTCCTTATTGGTCCTTTTAAAAATTGTTTATATCTCAGGTTGTGCTTTCCAAGATTGTCCACAAAAGTTTCTACTCTTTGACGTAGTTCATCCAAGAGAGTGTGTTCATAATATTGAGAACCGATGAGCTGATGTTAGAGGAGAAATTGCAAATAAACTTACCCGTGTATGCTATAAATAGGAACACTCATAGAATTGACAAGGTAATGCGAATACATAACAAATTCCATTGTACATACGACCGTCGCCGTGTTGCTGGTATGTCACAAGGTATGTCGTAAGGTTTCTCACGTGATGTTAGCTTTGGGACGGGGGTGTTGACGCAGTGAACACACTTGCATAGACCTTTATTTACATCATCTCACGTAAAGCCTTTCTCGAACATGGTCGTGAAACCGCAAACAAACGAAACGGAACGAAATGACAAACCGAAAATGGCGTCTCTCAACCCTTTTCGGAACATGAGCGAGAGAAACATAGTCCATAGTTTGCTCTAGGTACCAACCATGTTGGCCTCCCAAAGTGGATTTAGATGAGCACCACGCCGCCGTCATGGCACTGAATCACAGCGACTCGAATGCGAGGTGCACACAAGTGGGATGCTGAATGAGCCCAAGGCCCAAACATGGGCCGCGTTACTGTCATCCGCCGGGAAGAAGCACCAAGCGATGTTATCCGACGCTGCCCAGAAAGGAACGAAGCCAGCTCCATTCAAACGGGTCCTGGCACGAATTTAAAGGGGCGAGAAGTGAGAACAGGAGCACGGAATGTGGGAAGCAGAAGCGACATCGGACTGAGTTGGCGCCGGGGTTTTGGCGGGAAGTCCTTCGCAGCCCGGCGCGTCCACAAGGTCAATGCCAAGAAAGCAGAGGACGGCGAATCGAAGGCCCGTCATTGGACCTGCCGACGCTCCCCTGCCCATGCACTTCGCCGAATTCTGGCGCGAGCCATCACTCGTCGGCCCGCCGGAGGATGAGTCACGGCAGTTCAAATTTGCTTAACTTTGCCTCGTGACTTGTGGCGAATTATCGACAATCTGACGACAATTAGAAGCCCGGCCAGCGGAAGGAAGGAAGGAAGGAAAGAAGGAAGTAACGAAGGAAGGAAGGAAGTAACGAAGGAAGGAAGGAGGGAGGTTCTGTAAGCAGGAGACGGAAGGGTCGAGAAGGAGGACTAGGGGCGCGGTCTTGGGAGGTTTGGAGCGGGTCGCGAGAAGGGTTTAGTCTTCGATGGCGATGGGGATGCGGAAGGAGAGACGAGGATGAAGGTGGTTGCGTAGGTGGAAGAGGAAGAGCAGCGGTAGCGGGTGGAGGTTGATCGTGAGCGTGCCGTGTCGAGTGCTGTTAGTGGAGGTGTCTAGCGGGAACGGTCGAAGGAAGAGAGGATTACTAGCCGGAATGGAGGAGCACGAGGTCGTACTAGATAATGAGCAGGTGGTGAGCATTCACGAGTTTATGGAAGGGATTGAAGCCCAGCAACTGGTGAGTTTCTTGAGCTCCGGCAATTTGTTTCTTCTACCTTGTTGAATCGAGAATAGAATGACGTATAGAACGGTGTGGGATCTTGGGACGAGGATTGCCGTATCAAGCCTACACTTTTGGCTATCACATTTATACTAGTTTAGTCACATTTGCAATTCCTCGACGCCTTTCCCTGCAGCGGGATGGGCGTCGATGAACTTCGAATCGCCTGTACCACCCTTCGTCGGGTATGTCGTGCTTTGGACTAATCGATACTGCGTGAGATAGATAGGTCTGCCGTCTGTCGAGGCGTGGGCCTGTCTTGTGGATACGAGAGATGTTAAGTCACTGAGAGTGATTGCTCAGTAGACATGTGACTGGTCAGGGTGTACTTTTTATGGAGACCCTTGAAGGAGAAGTTGCAGTTATACAAAAAAATCAGGTTCGGATACGGCAAAATTCAGTCTCATGGCCCTACATACGATGGATTATGTAGCCAGGACATTGACTCGTAGGTTTGTTAACCGAATTCATCTATCTGAGGGTAAATCAGGCGGTTGAAGTTCTTTCAACGGTTGGAGGAACGATCTCTCTTGGTATCCTGATCCGCTGCTTCAATTCCTGGTAGACCGGGATTCACCCTTGCCCAACTTATGTCGTCTTTTATGTGTTTAATCAGAGTCTTGACACTTGGCCACTGCATCATCTCTTGCGGTCTAAAGATCCCGCACAGGAGTCTGTTTAACGAAATACTGACTCGCAGGATCTTATCGCACCATCTTGCACACTAAATTTGCCTTTCAAATACTTCATACCCACTGTCGCGCAATGCTGGTCAATAGAGACCTTCATTTCACCGTGTAGATGTGTCGTTCTTGAATCCTAATCCCTGTTCGTTTGAAGCTTTATGGGCGGAAAAGGGTTGGGTTTTTCAAACTTGCAGCCTCTTCCTTGTTCCCGCTGGCGTTGGGTCTATGTTTCACATCTTATTGTTTTCAAGAGGTCTGACTGCTTGAGCTTTCTGCCAACGCGCAGACATCTTACATTTTTTAATTTCTCATGACGATGCAGCCATACAGTTTGGATCCTTGTAGTTCTAGGAGTTGAAGTTTGGACCTTTCAAACACTTGCAACATGTAAAAACGAAGCCATTGTGTACTACCCTTTTCCACTTCTTCTGAAGCGACCTTCTGCCATTCATAACTTTGAAAACATTCAAAGTTCGACGGAGGAGAAACCAGTTATGGTCTGGTAGCCCGTTTGTGTGTCCAGAACCGGCGAATTGAGACAGGAATCTCTTCGAGACGTTCATGAAGTCGATGGGTTAGAATGGACATTGGATGTTTTCTTCTCTCCCTAAAACTGTGGACTCTCGCTGAATGATTACAACTAGCCCAGATCGATGCCCCTTGAGGACTACTCACTTGAAGCAATTTTGGGACGTAACGCGTTTTGAATCGCTCGGTCTCCTTCGGGATGAAAGTTTCAGCTTAATCACTCGTATTCTGAATTCTTTTTTTGCACATGCCAGTATCAGGTACTTGGACTCCTTTGGGAAGCTGCGCGATTGAGCCGATAACCACTGTAATATCAAATTCTAACGCTGTAGGAAAGTCTTTCTCACTTTAGACAACTTGACAAATGAACTGTCAACTCATCCTTGTGTTGAAATTGGCAGGAGGCAGATCTGGTGCTCGGAGGAGACGAAGGCAAGGAGTGTACATATGAAAAGGGTTACATGAGAAGACAAGCGGTGTTTTCCTGCCTAACGTGTACTCCAGCCGGAAATGCTGGGTTTTGTACGGCCTGCTCGTTCGCGTGCCACGACGGCCACGAGGTGATTGCTCTACGCTAACACATCATCGGAACATTTCCTCTTGCAGAGAAAAACCCTTTTTTATTCAGTTGGCGTATTTCGATCAGGATCACCTAGATAAGATTGTGGTTCTATTGCTGGTAGCAATGATTCAGTCGAGTTGTTTTCCCTACTGTTTCACTCTTCCCCTATCTCTGGATATGGTGCCTCCAAGCAAGTGGGTTCTACTCTGCAGCATTTGGGCGCCATCTTCCGAGACTCCACGATACACTGAGCGTTGTCTGGAGTGGAAGATCTTTGGTGCAAAAGTCTCAATATCGTTTCCTCCTTCCTGTTTCATCTTGTTCTAGGGCGCAATACTGGCAAGGTGGTGGCATCTTGAAATGTCTCCCCTCCCTAGTCTTATAATAGACAACAAATTCGTTGTATGATGAGCAAGGTGGTGGAGTTGTGGACGAGAAGGAGTTTTCGCTGTGACTGCGGAAATTCAAAGTTTTCAAGCTTCGAGTGCAAACTAAACAAAAATAAAGAACAGCTGAACGAGGGAAATGTGTACAATCAAAATTACGGAGGTCTCTACTGCACGTGCCGTCGCCCTTTCCCTGATCCCGAAATTGAAGATCAGGGTGAAATGCTACAATGCTGCATATGCGAGGATTGGTTCCACGAGACTCATCTCGGGCTACCACCCAACTTACAGGTGAGAAGAATGTTACTAGGTTGATATTCACGATAACATCCAGGAAAGTCATTGTCACCGCAGGTGAATGGTTTATGTTGTAAAACCTGGTCAAAGAGGAACACAGTTGATTGCCTTCAGTTGCAAGGACATTTCCACTTTGCACAATCATCAACTCATTCATATATTTGCTTCACTCTGACAGGTTCCAAGAGATGAAGATGGGGAGCCCACGTTCGACGAGTTGATCTGCCAATCTTGCGTCCGTCGTTGCAGTTTTCTGGAAGAGTATCCAGAACTGATTGCATCACCTGTCGAGGTTGAGGATGATGAAGCACCTCCAAGTCAGGACTCAGAAGCACCGAAGGTAGCTGACGTATCTACCGCGGAAGCACCTCCTACTCAAACTTCCGTAAACAAGAAACCTTACACAAACGGTTTAACCCTTGAGACCGCTCTAGGAGGTAGACCCGTGCCAAGTGTCGAAGAAAATGGGAAAGCCGAGAAGTTGGAGGTCAGTAGCACCAACCATGTCGGGGAGTCATCCGGAAGTGGAGGTTCTGTTTGCAAGCTGAAGCGAACATCTCAGGCTGAGTCGGCCCTTACGACATCAGAGGAGAAACCTGAAGAAACGACCTCAGTAGGCCTCAAAGTGCTAGACTCTGGACGGGCAGTTTTTCTCGCTAAGAGCTGGAGAACTGAGCTTTGTCAATGCGATGCCTGTAAGGCAATGTACATGGCAAAGGGCATAGAGTTCCTCTTAGACAAAGAGGACACACTTCAGGAATACGAGGAATCAGCAAAAAGGAAACGGGAGGAAGCCAAAGAAAAGGAGGATGGAACTACACAAGCCTTTTTACAAAAACTAGGACACGTGCAGCGCATTGAGCTGGTTCATGGTATCAACAATTTGGCAACCGAACTGGAATCTTTTCTGGTGGGTTTTTTTCCGTCTGTTGATTCCCGTTTTGTCCGAAACGTCTTTTCACGTTGCTGTCACGTCAGGGCAGTCTACCCTTCATCTTGTGATTTTCTACAATGATGACAGCCGTCAACGTCTTACCGTCGCTTGTATATAGATTCTCACTTCATTTTCTTGGTCTGATGTGGATACTGTAAATTGATCACGAATCTTGGAAGCTTCGAGTTGCACTATGCCGCAACACCTAATGCAGTCCTTTTGTTTTGTGTTAGCTTCACTTCCTCCGACAATATTGTTATGTTTCTATATTCTCCTTGATGGTATCCGGATGTCCGTCATGCATCACATGTTTGGACTTGAGCGCCTAATCGTTGCATGAAATGATGTACTAGGACACGCGATGGTATGAAATCTACAATGATGCATGAATTAGTTTCACTCTACCCAGAGCTGCGAGATGAGTGGGAACATGCCACTAACGTTCTGATCTTGTTTTGTAACAGACCCCTTTTGGGCAAAGTGGGAAAACTGTGACCAGTGACGATATATATGAGTTCTTCGATGGATTGCGCAAGAAGAGGAGAGTGGATTAGATGTCTAGAACTACAGAGGGCGATTATGTCGGCTCTGTAACCTTCTGGCATGAAGACTAGGAATATGTTAGCACGCTAACCTCACAAGGTCACTGTTCCCGCCGAAGGGGCCAGCAGTTGACCTAGTAAGAATATGTGCTCCTGTAAATGAAATTGCACATAATCTCAACAGTTGAGGATATAGAAGGCCGAACGTAACCAGGCCCACCACTATCTCTCAAAGTTCTTGTTTCATATTTTGAAGAGTAATGTATAGAGCAGGAGTTGGCGTCTCACAAATTGTCGTCTGTGCCTATCGTCAACTGCCTCAAACGTCTCTCCTGTATCTTGTAATACTAAGATTCGAGTTTCTCTGTACCTCATGTCACCATGTATGTTCTACTCTAGAGATTATACATAATTTCATGAAAAAAATCTTTTGGGCATGATAGTATTGCAAATTCGGTCGTTCAAAGAGACGGTTGGACGATGTTCCAAGGGTTGTTTTTGATGCTATCGGAGGAAATTCGAGCGTTACAAGGAATTTGACCTGGAACAACCAGATAACTACTGCCTTAAAACGTTCGAGCAGCTGTAGCCTGTGGATAGCGGATTCTCGATACCTGCCCTCACGTTCTGCTAAGTCGGTTCGAATCTTGTGCCTGCGATTTGGATTGGATTGGATTGGATTGGATCGGAGATTCATGAAAACATGCAATTCCACATTTTCTGTGACTGGAAAACTGTTGCCAAGTGGCTGCTACTGACGCACCTGAGTTCTTTTCTGAAAGGTACCGACGATCCAGGCGGTGCCAACCATCATACGTTAGCTTGAAGGGCTAGTTTATCATATTCAGATTTTCCACAGAATACGATCACATGCTGAAGCATTCGGTTCGGGGAGTTTCTATCGGCAGTGACGGAAGTGAAACTTCCACCGAGGCCATGCTTACTGTTATCAATTTGCACGCTGTTGCTTCTCTATAAGCGAGCCCAATTGCCATCTCTCTTACTGCGTGCAATTGTCGGCATCTGCCTCCTTCCTAGGTTCGTCTAAAGTTCTGACCCGGCAACTACAGGGTTGTTTTTCTGCAGATACTCCCTTGTCAACGGCAACACAGTGGATATCTCACACACTTGTGCAACAGTTGCCACAAGGGTCATTGGTGATGTTTCTATTTCTTAGTTTCTTTCTTCCTAAGTCACATCTTGAAGAATCTGGTGCAACAAAGGTCTAGTGGTGGCTCCTTAAAGCTTCGAATCATTTATCTTCCCTTAAAGTAGGTTCGCAATTGTGAACTCACATATCCTGTATTAGAATACCCCGCGCTACACTCTGTTGCGCGGGGTTGAGTGTTTGTCCAACTTGTATTCGCACGATTAGACACTCTTGCTCTTCATTATTGCCAAGACTCCAAAAATTTCGGATTTAGGCGCACTCCTGACTCTGACCAGGCTATCGGCCATAAGTTGATGTGCAACTTTGACCAAAGGCTCTCGAACTCTCAAATCCGTGGATCCCGGTTTCGATCAGATAAGTTTCTGTCCCGGATCTACTAAAACTGTAACCAATGGTAATGTTTCAACGATGAAGGAGATAACTCGAGGATCCAAGGCCCATTCGATGCTAGAGAAGTGGGCGCTCAGTATGGACGGTATGGTACATCGTCGTGACGACAGTAGAGTCTCGGGGAAGACCTGCAGCAACAGTCTTCCAGACGAGGCCGTGAATTGGACGTTAAAGATTCTATTATCGGACAGCATTAATGACAGGAACAGCCCCAAGAAACCTCAGAGAATTTGGTCCTCTGTGTATGAAGTCAACAGGCAAAAGCATAGTTGTCTGAGGAGTGAATCCATGTGAATCCATGTGAATTCACAAGTGAATCCATGTGTCAGAAATCTCGTCCATATAGATCATGAAAGCCAGTCACAGTAGTCACCGAGTGGAACTGTACAAAATGGCAGGACCCAAAGTCAATGCAGCAATAATAAATCCAGAACGTGGCAGGCCCCAGTTCGTCCAAAATTTCCATGATCGGTCATCTCGGTCTGTACTATTCTGTGTGGGTGATTTCTGGTGGCAATTATGCACTCAACTGCAGGAACTTCAAGGCTCGGAGCTGAGCTCGAGAGTCGAAACTTGTGATGTCATGACGATTGTTTGACATACTTTCCCCTGTCTTTGCTTGCGCTCCTCTATGAATGCCTACCCGATGCTCTTCAGCTCCCTTTCCATTCTCGATTAATCACAAATGAATGAACTTCAAACGTCCTCTATCCTCTAAGAAGACAAAGAATTTAAAATAAAAATGACAGGTAGGGTAGACCAATATCAATCGCGCAAGTATAAATTCAAACCTCAGACATGAGGCTAGCCACATCTATGTAATGTCTAGCCCCAAATATGTTTTAAGATGATTGAACCATCGGATCACATTATACAAAAACAAAACTTTTATGATTTATTAATTTAATTACCCCTATTTTAAAAGCACTACGATTCTGAAAAAATTTGTAAATCTCTACTGAAGTACATTAAATAAGAAAATAAAGCTCATGTACTTCTTTCGAAGCTAAAAACATTTTGAACGTCATAACATTCTACCTTAAAACCTGATATTAAATATCCACATCTCTCTCGTACACATTAAAGATAGTTCTCTCTGCAATCATAATGGGAGAGATAGAAATTATAAAAGAGTTTTTAGTTTGTCAAATTTCGTATGGATTTGATCTATTTCATAAATAATGAGCATAGATATTCACATAAATTGTCAAAGATGCTTATTTCAGAGAATAGCCCAATATTATAGAGTAGATGACACAATTCTACACCTTCAAAAAAAGAAAAGTAAATCCAATATGAGATATGACAAAAAATATCACCTTAAAGTGTCTTCTAGAAGTACCCATGAAAAAATTGTGGCATGTAAAAAATCATGATGATAACGTAAGAACAAAAATCCAAAATTTCCACTAACAGCAAAATTCACAAAGACTAAGCCGAGAAGAATATATGTGGTTTGCCACTTTCAAGATACATTCACTAGAACAATGGTTCTTTACTTTAAATCTACTTGGGCTCACGTGAACACTTTGAAGCTTTTTAACTGAGACCGTGTTGTTTCTGTGGACGTAATCTAAAAGTGATGAACCACGTTCATTCTTGTTGGCACTGTGCTTGTGAATAACTCTACTCATACAAATTTTGAATTCTTATTTTTACAGATAAGTTATATTATAATTTGAATCACAATAATAGAAATACCTCGTCATAAATCATCACCATAATCTGTAGGTTTACGTGCATTTAAAATTAAATAAGCAGATGAAAAATTTTAAAACCTGTATTGGTATCCACATGAATATCAAAATTACAAAGATTTTTTTTGTCTACTAAGTTTAAACTTTCATTCTTTATTGATTTCTTTACTTTTTAATTGTGTTACATATCTATTTAAGTGATCAAAGTTTTACTCACAAATGAAAAGACCTATTTTTTATGATTAAAATATTTTAGTTCATGCAAGCATCAAAATGAATTATTTTATTTGCTATGATAGTCAATTATGAAAAAATTTGAGATGAAAAAAAAATAAAAAATTACAAATAGGTTAATTGTTTCAATAAGAAGTGGGAGTAGCTAGTTATCCCTCAAGTTATGTTAATTATTCCTCACCCTACAAAACTTAAATTAATTGCTTAAGGAAGTAGGTCTGTGATTGATCAGAAGGATTATGGATCTCATTTTGAAATGAACACGTTAGTTGCATCGCTAAACATCTCCTACATTGGATGCTGCATTATCAGCAGTGCAAGCTTAAGCGTTGAGTCAATCACTTGAGTGAGGAATAATTAGCATAAATTGGAGCAATAACTAGCTCCCTAAAAAGTAAATATTTTTCTTTTTCAATTTGATAACTTGACTTTAAAATCAAATATATCACAATTTTGAACATTCATAGTTCAAACATATCATATTTTTATAAACCTTAAATTTTTATTTTTTTATTAAAATAAATGTAAAGAGTTAATTAAAATGATTTCTAACATATTTAGTATGACTGATAAGATTGACATGATGCAAAAGATCTCATGGAAGCATTTAGTGACATTTTTAGAGTTTAATATGAATAAAGTTTAATAGGACTTTTCAGACTTAGTATTGAATCACGTATTTCATGTTTATTTTTGTATATTTTTTTCTTGATTATGAAACTATGCATGCTATTATTTTGTGTCATACACCAATTGATATCAGATTATGGTGAAACTTTTCACTTATTTCTTATCACAATGATTCATGAATTATTTCACGTGATTCTAATAAGTTTTAGTAGGATTTTCAAGAGCCATTGCCAACTAAAACTTGATGGCTTGTCTAATTTATTTCATCAGTACTTCAAATTTATAATTGTAAGAAATCTTTGATGGGGTGTGAATTTTGATGTCAAATTGCAAGTGATTGATACAATTTTAATCTTGATTTTGAAATGTGAATGACAAAATGAAACAATATAATTTTTGTCTTGTTTGCTGATCAAAAAATGTAAAACAAGCAAAGTCATGTCTTTCTTGTGAGGATTGAAAACGCAAAGATGATCATATTCACTAGAATTGATGAAATATAAAGATGTGTAATGAGAGAATAATTAATTTGAAATTTGAAGACTTAGTTAAGTTGGATAATGATAGATGGTATGTTTTTGAATTTCAACAAGATGTTTTCAGTTCAATGTGTTTTTTGAATCCAATAATTACTTTTGTTCATGTGGAACTTTTATTAGGATAATTTGATTTTGGTACAATGTGATGATTTGTTTGAATTGAACAAAATAATTGAAAAAAAAAAGCACAAAGCAGATATTTTACAAATAATATGTAGTACATCACAAAATATTTTACTAGATGTTTGATCAAAAACATATAAGTGAAATGAATTCAAAGAAGAATTGCAAAATCTAAATTTTCTTTTAGTTAGAATGTGATTTCCATCAAACATGCAAGTGTTATGAGTAAATTTAGATTTTTTTGCTTATTAATGTTACCAGGATTTGGGTTTAGGTTTAAGATTGGATAACTTTTATAATCCTAAATCTTGCACTAGAGCTTACGTAAACTCTTGTTGACACAATTTTCAATTTTTTAGGTAAAGATTTTTTGATCTCAAAGATATTGTCTGCAATTATGAATCACATATGTTTGTTGGTCTCTGTGCCTTACCTTTTTCTTTTGTCGTTTGGACATAATTGTTTAGTTATCATAGTTTTCTAGGTTGAAGCTTAAGACTGATGTTTATCACTACAGGGCATAGGCAATTTCAACTATGCATGGCTCTATGAGGTGAGACGTCCACACATAGCAGAGTTAAGAA